TTCTTACCCACGAAAGCTTATGCTCCCAATACTTCTGTTAGTCTCAAAGGTGCCACAGGACCCTCTGTTGCTTTTTACAGATTCAGACTAACACGGCTACCCCTCTGATATTAATACACAATATTTATTAAAACAATTACACCCTTCAAGCCAGATGTACTGTGCCCTACTTAGACTATGCAAAAGGAAAAAGATACTGATTATGCTTCCTGTTTCCCCAAAACAAAGACAACTGCAAACTTTACTTGGCTTGCACATCAAGGACAATGGGGCCCTGATCACGGCCCCTAGAAGTCGCTGCAATACCCACAGTACCGGGGCAGGCAGTATGGCCCTGGGCAGGCTGCTACGAGGCAAGGCAGCGACTTACCGGCTTACTGGGGTAGACTTTGGAGAGGTGAGTTTTCAGCGTGCCCACGGTCCAGTCCAGGAAGCAGCTGATGGTCTGGTCGGTGTATTTCTGGTTGGGCGCTTTGATGATGAGGGTCACCGGGTGACCCACCAGGCTTTGGTCCATACTGCTCGCACGGGCTCGCTCTCCCCGCGAGGGGCGAAGCCGCTGAAGCTCGACGGCCGGGGCGGGAGGATCAGTGTCCGGGGACGAGTTTGACAAGGAGGCTTCGGCCGCCCATCCCCGCGGTCTCGGTGGGAGCCGCCCCTACAGTACAGGGAGGGGGGAAGTAGGCGGGACCCCGCCGAGCCACGCCAGGGCGGTGTCCGCCTGCGGAGGGGGGGAGAGAGGCGAGTTAGGGGCGTCACACACCGATCCCCCCCCCCCACGCAACAAGGGCCGCGACCCCCCTCCCAGGCTCCCCCCGGGGCCGGTAACCAGGGCAGGGGGCAGATCCCAGTGACTGGGAGCCGAGCCCAGCGCTCGGGAGAGGCCTGGTCACGCTCAGCGACCCCCGGGCGCGGCCTGCATCCCCCTCCCCGCAAACAACAGCGACGGGCCCCGACCCGCCCGTACCGAGCCCGGCCGCGCGCTCCCGAGAACCCGGCTCAGCCTGTCCGGGAGCTGTTCCGCTGGCGTAAAATGGAGACCGGAAGTGGTTCGCCTCCCTCCGCCTGCGGCGCCCCGTGCGCGGCGCCAGGGGGCGCTAGGGGCGGCGAACTGAGCATGCGCGCGCACGCACACACCCCCCCTAGTGAGCAGAGACCGCTGCATTCCCCCAGCTCCGGGCCTGCTCTTGGCCAAGTCCCACCCAGGATATCCAATAGGGCCGCACCAGCCTTGTTGGGGCCAGGGAAACCCAGTCACTCCGCCTTGGAGCCAAGGAAAAGGGCGCCCCCTGCTGCTGGGGGGCAGCAGGGCCTCAGAGGGGGCTGTTCACACAGGCTGCATCCAAAGCCACTGAGAACCAAGAGCTACAGCAAGGCACCTTCCCTGGAGCTTTCTGAAGTCGTATCTGCTCTGGGACGTGAGTGTGAGAAAATCCCCCGCTCGCTCCAGCCCCCAGAGCTCCATGCCCTCTGCAACGAGTGTTTGGTCTTTGGCTAGTGCTCCGCACAGGGGGCTGCTAGGTACTGTCATCATACAAATACACCTCTACCTCGATATAACACTGTTCTCGGGAGCCAAAAATCTTACCGCGTTATATCGAACTTGCTTTGATCCACCAGAGCGCGCAGCCCCCCCCCACCCCCTGCCGGAGCACTGCTTTACCGCTTTATATCCGAATTCGTGTTATATCGGGTCGCATTATATTGGGGTAGAGGTGTAATAACAAAAGCATCGAATACAACGGAGTGTGTATCAGGAGCAAACCAGCTCTGTGTGCTCTACAGACATTTGCACCAGCAAAGTTGTGTCCACCTAATATGCCAATGCAAATTTCTCTAACGCCCAGTGGTCAGGCTGTGCTTAAATGACCAATATAACAAATGAAAGTTTACCAGAATCCCTAGTACACGGGTTGAAAACTTGTTGGACATTTTTCTCATGTAGGCAGGGTTTGTGACACAGGATGTGAGTTGTCAGCAAACCTCATTGTCAGTATGCCACTGAACAAAATGACTTCAAGAGTAGACTACATCGGGGTTCTCAAACTTCCTTGCACCTTAACCCCCTTTTGACAACATAAATTACTACACAATCCCAGAAGGGGGGACCGAAGCCTAAGCCCACCTGAGTCCCGCCACCCCGGGCTGCGGGGGAAGAGGGGAGGCGCAAAGTCCAAGCCCCACCATGCTGGTTGGGAGGCCAAAGCCCAAGAACTTCAGCTGCAGGAGGGGGGGCCCGTAACCTGAGCCTCGCCACCCAGAGCTGAAGCCGTTGGGCTTTGGTAGGGTTACCATACGTCCGTTTTTTCCCGGACATGTCCGGCTTTTTGGCAATCAAACCCCCGTCCGGGGGGAATTGCCAAAAAGCCGAACATGTCCGGGAAAATGCCGGCCGGGCACTTCCCCTCCCGCGGCTGCTCTGCTCCTCCCCTGACTCTTCAGCTCTGTTTAAGAGCCGAAGA